AATTACCAGCCGGATCAAAAAAAAACTGGAATCATGTGGTAGATGCCAGAGCAGGTCCCAGCCTAAAGACTACCTTGAAACCAAAGAAAGTGAAAACTCTATCTGGAAACAGGATAAAAAGCAACCAGATCAGTAAACTGCAGAAGGAATTTAAACGTCACAGTAAGTTTCGAACCTTGGTATACCAAGTGGTTTTCCAGTTTATTTTTGGTTGTTGTTGATGAATGGTATATTCAGATAACTTTCTTGTTTGTTCCCTTTTTGACAGGGCTGAGGATCTTGCATCCTAGGGACCAGTTATACCCAAACACCTTCCTGCTTCTTTCCTTTTTTACAGGGCCTTAAAAATCAAGGTCTTGTGTTCTCACTGCTTGCTTGCTCATAGCTGGTGTTCAACTACTTGAGCCATACCTTCAGTCTGGCTTTTTCCCCTAGTTGTTTGGGAGATGGAGTTTTCCATCTGCCAGGACTGACTTTGAACCACAATCCTTTAGATCTCAGTCTCCTGAGGAGGCCAGGATTATAGGCGTGAGTCACCAGCACCTATCTAGGAACTGAGGTCTTAACATAGAGTCCATTGCCTAAAATGCCTTCTACCTCATGATTCTGAAACAAAAGGTCAAAGAATTTGTTTTGCTAAACTGACTGGTAGAGGAAGAATTGGCTAAATGGGCAGAGTAGTGACTAATAAATGACCATGAAATGCTGTATAAAGAAATAGGATTATTTATTAGATTTTTTGGGGGGTGGGGGGAATGCCATTCTTCGGATTGAACTTGTGGCCTGGGCATGGTTCCTGAGCTTTTTTTGCTCAAGGCTGTACAACTTGGGCCACAGATACACTTTTTCCACTTTTTAGCAATAAACATCTTGTGGACTTTCCTGGTTTGAACCCTGGTACTCTCTGATTTTAGCCTCCTGAGATTAGCTAGGATTACAGACAGATGTAAGCCACCAGCATCTGGCTAAGAAACAGGATTTTTCATGAAGCTCATCTCCAAAGGGAAGTGTGATATATATCAAGTACACATAGAGCAGATTTTAAAGTTCCCTGAATTCGGTGCTTGGGCTGCAGTCATTCATTGAGGTGTAGGCATTGGGTGTACACCTACCTTGTTCTAATAAGGAAAAAGCAGATGATGGAATTAGCAGTAAACAGTGTGACTGAATATGGGAAAATATCAAATGAGACTCACTAAGACTCTCACATGGCCCTAAGGAAAGGAGCTAAATGGTTAGGTGTCTTTTGGGGCTCACACCTGTGATTCTAGCTACCGAGGAGGCTGAGATCTGAGGATCGCAGTTGGAAGCCAGCCTGACATGAAAGTACATGAGACTTTTTTTTTGGTTGTAGGGCTTGAACTCAGCGTGGGCGCTGTGCCTTAGTTCTTCAACTCAAGGCTAGTGCTCTACTACTTGAGACATATTGCCACTTCCGGTTTTCTGGTGGCTTATTGGGGATAAGAGTCTCGGGGTCTGGGAAGGTGGCTCAGTGGTAGTGCGCTTGCCTCACATGCATGAGGCCCTGGGTTCGATTCCTCAGCACCATGTAAACAGAAAAAGCCGCGCCGTGGCTCAAGTGGTAGAGTGGTAGCCTTGAGCTGGAGAGCTGAGAGGCAGCACCCACACTCAGAGTTCAGGCCCCATGACCACCAACAACAACAAAAAGTCTCACAGACTTTGCTGTCCAGGTTGGCTTTCAACATGATCCTCAGATCTCAGCCTCCCTGAGTAGCAAGATTACAGGTGTGAGCCACCGCCTGTGGCTCATGAAACTTAACCACAACAAAGTCAGAAGTAGAATGTGGCTCAAGTGGTAGAGTGCTAGCCTTGAACAAAAACAAAAATCTGGAAATAAGCTGTATGGCTCAAGTGGTAACAGCATTATTCTTGAGTGAAAAAGCCAAGCAAGAGCATGGTCATGGGCTGGGAAGGTGGCTCAGTAGTAGAGCGCTTGCCTTGCATGCCTGAGGCCCTGGGTTCAATTCCTTAGCACCACATAAGCAAAAAGAAAAAAGCCGGAAGTGGCACTGTGGCTCAAGTGGTAGAGCGCTAGCCTTGAGCTGAAGAGCTGGGGGACAGCGCCCAGACCCAGAGTTCAGCCCCCATGACCGGCAAAAAAAGAAAGAAAGAAAATGTATATTTAGCCAGTTGCAGGTTCATGCCTGTAATCCTAGCTTCTCAGGAGGCTAAGATCTGAGGATCACAGTTCAAAGCCAGCCTGGGCAGGAAAAGTCTGAGACTTAGATCTCTAGTTAGTCACAGAAAAAAACCAGAAGTGGACCTATGGCTCAAGTTGCAGAATGCTAGCCCTGAGCAAAAAGAAGCTCAAGGGACAGTGCTTAGGCCCCAAGTTCAAGCCCCAGAACCAGTAGGGAAAAAAAACAGTATGCTTACCAAGGGATTTGTTGGGGGTGTTTCAGCCCCTGTAGTGGCTCTTAGACATAATAAAGTGGAAGGTTTTGTTTTGTTTTGTTTGTTTTTATTGCAGATTCTGATGCCCACAGTACCACCTCAAGTGCCTCGCCAGCCCAGTCTCCTTGTTATAGTAACCAATCAGATGACGGCTCAGATACAGAGATGGCTTCTGGCTCTAACAGGACACCAGTTTTTTCCTTTTTAGATCTTACATATTGGAAAAGGTGAGTAACAGAAAATATCACACACTCCCATGTTACATGATTTATGATGGGTGAAGTTAAAAAAATTGCTAGGATATGTTCCAAAGCATGGAATAAATATGAAAGAATTCTACTTGAATTCTTTCTTCACTTCACATACAAGTATCAATTACCTAGGCATTAAAGTAGAAAACAAATACAACAAACAAGACTTGAGAAACAAGATCTTCCACTCATCTGGTCAAATCATTACTAAATGACCCCATGCTGCTGACCACATACATGGTGTATATGTGCACATTGGAGGGAAACTAGGAGGAGGACACAGAACCAGAGGGAAACAGGGGAAAACATACAACAGCGGGACCCATCAGCTGCACTGGACATTGATTAAAACGAACTAAGCAACTCAATGGCAGTGATGGGAGGGAGGGAATGAGTGGGAAAGAGGAAACAGATGACGCTATGCAAAAGGAAAGGAATGTACATATCACCCGATATGGAAGAAATAACTGTATTGTCAAAGCTCATGGAACTCAAACTTCATGGACCAAGACAGAGGCAATTTGGTCCACAAAGGTTACAATGTGTTTGTGACTTTAACTAAGTATCACTATCCAATAATACTGTGAAATTTGTGAAATGTATGTAATCACAACAAATCTCAATAAATTAATAAATAAAATTAATAAATTAATCACAATAAAAAATTGCAAAAAAAAAAAAAGACTCCAGAAAGGTGGGGTGGGGGGAGTAGAAAACAAGCTTGGTGCAGGCAGCTCATGTCTATAATCCTGGCTACACTGGAGGCTGAGATTTGAGCATGCAAAGCCCATGGAAGCAGGAATGTCAGTGAGGCTCTTACCTCCAGTTAACCACCAGAAAAGCCTGAGTGGTATTATGGCTCAAAATGGGAGAGTGCTAGCCTTGTGCCCAAAAGCTCAGGGACAGTGCCCAGGTCCTGAGTCCAAGCCCCAGGGTTAGCCTAGGTGAGTGCAAGTGTGCGCACACATATACATACAGAGAAATAACTCATTAAATAAAAACATGTTCAAATATTTCTATAATCTTGGAAATACAAATCTCAGTTTCCTAGCCTACATTCTTCCAGGATCCCTATCATGTGGGAGTTGGTAATACTGTGGAAAGTGAGTCTTTTAATCATGTTGGACTTAGTTAAAATGGTGGGTAGGTTTCCTTCCTTCTCCCTCCTTTCCTTTCTTTGTTTTGTTTTTGCTTTATTAGTATTTCTTTTTTCTTTTTCCTTTTAGACAGAAAATATGTTGTGGGATCATCTATAAAGGCCGCTTTGGGGAAGTCCTCATCGATACCCATCTATTCAAGCCCTGTTGCAGCAATAAGAAAGCCAGCACTGACAAGCCGGAGGAGCCGGGCCCAGAGCCTCTGCCCATCTCCACTCAGGAATGGTGACCGAGGCCCACGCAGAAGCCATCGGAAGTTTGCAGAGACCACAAGCAACCAACTGACCCTCTTCTTTTGAACTTGGATCCCTGCTATTCTGCCAAAAGACATTTTCTAGAATAGTTTTTTTGAATGGTTTTTCTTTTCCCTCCCTAGTCCCACAAACTCTAAAGCCAGTGTCTACTTACTACAAATAAGAAAAAGGAAAAAAAAGAAGTGTACATAATATTTAAGATGCTGAGTATTTCATAGGAAAGCTGAATGCTGCTGTAAAGTGCTCTTTAAGTCTTTTTTTAATCCCCTTCTAATGAATAAAATTAGGGGAAATTCAGGGGACAGAGATGGGATTTGTTGTATGCTAAGCCGTATGTAGTTTTAGTCTTTCTCTATCGGGAAGCCGTGGTTGGGGGCATTTTCTTCGATGGCTGGATGCACTTGTTTTCCCTCCCGATTCTACATTTGTAACATGACCTGCCCCTAGATAGAGGTGGCTGTTGTTGGTAACTTTGGCATACTTAGGTCTTGCCATAGTTTTGATGACTCAAACCTATACTACTGATTACTAAGCAGGACAGTGAGCTTTGGGATGCATGATAGCTTGATGGAAGAGGTATGTCTAAATCATAGGGAGCTTGACTGTATATGTTGCATCTTTTGTTACCTCCCATCATTAATATTGGATGCAGGTTTTAATTCATGTGGAAATCTGAAAGCAGAATCCAAGCACCTCATGTGGAAATGGCAATTCTCTAGGGTAGGCAAGACGAGATCCTGTTTGAACTGGTACCAAAGCGTCACCGCCTGGCAGAGAGCAAAAGGCTTTGACTATAAATGTTAAGCTATATGAATAAAAGGTGCAAGTTTTCAGGATGGGATGGAACAAAAGTGAATGCTATTTAGGGCACATTTCTCTGAGGGCTTGCCCGTGTGAATGACTGGTGTTGTTTGTGTTATGTGGCTGTTCCTCAGATTCCTGAAATGTGCACAATTCAGTTTTAGCTCTGGATTGCTTCCACTGACCTTTGTGAAGGTTTTATCTACACAGATGGCATTGACTTGTTTTAACCTATTAAGGGTTTGTTGTTTTTTTCCCCACTATTTAAAGTTTATTAGAAGAAAAGGCATGTGTTAATGCTAAGTAGATTGGTTTGGGGTTCATTCAGATTTTTCTTTTTCCTTTTTTGAATGAGACTTTTGAAACTACAAGGTATACTGAAGTTGGAGCCCCTAATTCCCATATCCTCACTAAAAGCCTCACTTATGAGGCACTGGTGGCACAGGTCTGTAACCCTAGTTACTCAGGAGGCTATTATCTGAAGATTGCAGTTCAAAGCCAGACTGGGCAGAAAAGAGACCTTTTTTTTTGGGGGGGGTGTCCCATTGTGGGGCCTGAACTCAGGGCCTGGGCCCTGTCCCTCAGCTCTTCAGCTCAAGGCTAGCGCTCTACCACTTGAGCTACAGCGCCACTTCCGGTTTTCTGGTGGTTTATTGGAGATAGGAGTCTCACGGTCTCTCCTGCCCGGGCTGGCTTTGAACCGCAATCCTCAGATCTCAGCCTCCTGAGTAGCTAGGATTACAGGCGTGAGTCACCAGCGCCCGTCGCCACTTCCCATTTTTGAGTGGTTAATTGGAGATGAGTTTCATGGGGATTTTTCTGCCCAGGCTAGCTTTGAACTGCGATCCTCAGATCTCAGACTCCTGAGGATCTAGGGTTACAAGTGTGAGCCACTGGCACCTGGCTTCTTTTCTTTTTTCCTTTGTGCTGGTCCTGGGGCTGGAACTCAGACCCTGGGTACTTGTCTCTAAGCTTCTTTTTGCTTTACTACTTGAGGCACAGCTCCACTTACGGCTTTTTCTGAGTAGTTTACTGAAAGTAAGAGTCTCACAGACTTTCCTCTGCCCAGGCTGGCTTTGAACTGTGATCCTCAGATCTCAGCCTCCCAAGTAGATAGAACTATAGGCCTGAGCTACCAGCATCCTGCTCCATGAGTCTCCTTATTTCCAATTAAGCACTAAGATGCCAGAAGTGGAGCACAAAAGCTCAGCAGTGCCCAAGCCCAGACTCAAGTGCTAGGATCACAAAAACCTAATCCACAATTGAAGAGAGGAGCAAAGAAAGTAATGTAACTTGAATAAAATCTGCTTTTATTCCAAAGCCCTGTACTGAAAGTTCTTTTGGAGAAATGCCATCTTAATCCATTTGGGGGAAGGGACAGTGTCCAACTCTCCTCTGCTGTAGGTTGATTACCCTTACACAGAGATTGGCCCTTGTCCAATTCCTCTGTGTGTGTGTGTGTGTGTGTGTGTGCGCGTGCACGTGCGTGCATGCGTGCGTGTGCATGTTCACGCACCAATTCTTGAACTTCATATTCGGCCTGAGCATGGTCCTGAGCTTTTGTGCTCAAGGCTAGCACTTTACCACTTGAGCCACAGCTCAAGTGGGCTTTTTTTTTTTTTTTTGATGGTTAATTGGAAATAAGAGTCTCAGCAGCTTTCCTGCCCAAGCTGGCTTTAAACTGTGATCCTGCTGGGCACTGGTGGCTCACACTTAAAATCCTAGCTACTCAGAAGGCTGAGATCTGAAGATCATGGTTCAAAGCCAGCCTGGGGAGAAAAGTCCCCATAAGACTCTTAGAGACTCTTTTTTTTTTTGGGGGGGGGGTCCGGTCGTGGGCCTGAACTCTGAGCCTGGGCGCTGTCCCTCAGCTCTTCAGCTCAAGAGGCTAGCGCTCTACCACTTGAGCCACAGCGCCACTTCAGCTTTTTTCTTTTTGCTTATGTGGTGCTGAGGAATCGAACCCAGGGCCTCAGTCATGCAAGGCAACTGCTCTATCACTGAGCCACCTTCCCAGCCCCCGAGACTCTTATCTCTAACTAACCACTCAAAAATGGGAAGTGGCACTGTGGCTCAGGTGGTAGAACACTATCCTTGAGCATAAAAAGAGTCAGGGACACTGCCCAGAGCCTGAGTTCAAGCTTCACAGCCAACAACAACACCCGTAAGTGATGACCACAAAAATTAGGGTATCTGGAGCATACTAACTGTTCTACAAATGAAGAATGCATGAAGCTCAGAGATGCCCCTTATCTAGTGGTGCTGATGTGGCTTCCAATGTTCCAGTTATAGTACTCTCATACTCTGCTGATTTTTTTTGTGTGATGTTCAGTGAACTGGGAAGAGAAGAGAAAGCCAAAATGTATTAAAGGTAGATAATTTTGCAGGCTCATGTTCCCAAAGAACGGGACCCAACCATTCTATCTAACAATTTCTCAGGCTGTGGAGTTAGGTTACTCATTGTAATCAAGAGAAAGCTTTTGGAATCAAGTTCCTTACATGCTGAATTTTTAAAAAATGACTTGTTAGCAATGAGAATGTGCCTTAGTGGTAGAGAGCTTGCCTACCATGCATGATGTACTGGGTTCGATTCCTCAGTACTACATACACAGAAAAAACTTCTGGTGTTGTGGCTCAAGTGGTAGAGTGCTAGCCTTGAGCAGAAGAAACCCAGGAACAGTGCCTAGGCCCTGAGTTCAAGCTCCAGGACTGGCAAAAAAAGAAAAAGAAAAGAAAAACATTATTGGATGCTGAGTTGAAGATCTTGGACAAAATAGTTTAGAAGATTTAATATAACAGAATTTAATCATTCCATTTAGAGAACTATTGAAAAGCGTTTATTAAAGTATCACCTTCGTCTTGATATCTAAATTGGGAAAATTTTGCTGTGTTATTATGTCTATTCCTGGCCAGGTGCCAGTGCCTCATGTCTGTAATCTTAGCTTCTCAGAAGGCTAAGATCTGAGGATCACAGTTTGAAGCACAGGCCAAAAAGTTTGTGAGACTTATCTCCAATAAATTACTCAGAAAAAGCCAGAAGTGGTACTGTGGTTCAAGTGGTAGAGCACTAGCCTTGAGCACAAAAGGGCTTAGGGACAGTGAGTGCCCTGAGTTCAAGCCCCAGGACTGGCAAAAAAAAAGAGTGTCTATTCCTTATGTTGCTTATAGACAATTGCTCTTGTTTAGAGTAGCTCCAATTTCTTTTTTTTTTTTGGGGGGGGGGGTCCGGTTGTGGGGCCTGAACTCTGGGCCTGGGCGCTGTCCCTCAGTTCTTCAGCTCAAGGCTAGCACTCTACCACTTGAGCCACAGCGCCACTTCCGGCTTTTTTCTTTTTGTTTATGTGGTGCTGAGGAATCGAACCCAGGGCCTCAGGCATGCAAGGTAAGCGCTCTACCACTGAGCCACCTTCCTAGCCCAATTTCTTTGTATATGTGTCTCTATATTTGCACATCCATTAACATGAATACTGAGACTTGAACTGTTCTTGCTTAGATTTTCACTGAAGGCTGGTGGCTCTACCACTTGGGCCACATCTCTACTTCTGGCTTTTTGCTAGTTAATCAGAGATAAGAGTCTCTCAGGTTTGTCTGCCTTGCTGGCATGCCTTGCTGGCTTTGAATGATATCCTCAGATCTCAGGTAGCTAGGGTTACAAGCATGAGCCACCTGTGTCTCACTCTGTGATGTTAAGGTTGATCACTTTATTAAGATGGGTACTACTAGATTGTTTACATTGTTTACATGTAAGACACATTGTGTGTGTGTGTGTGTGTGTGTGTGTGTTTGTGTTTGTGTGTGTGTGTGTGTGTGTGTTTGTGTTTGTGTGTGTGTGTGTGTGTGTGTTTGTGTTTGTGTGTGTGTGTGTGTGTGTATGTGTGCTGGTACTGGGGTTTGAGTTCAGGGTGCCATCCTTGGGCTTTGTTGATTTGTTTTGCCAGTTCTGGGGCTTGAACTCGGCCTGGGGCGCTGTCCCTGAGCTTCTTTTGCTCAAGGCTAGCACTCTACCACTTGAGCCACAGCGCCACTTCCTGCTTTTTCTGTTTATGTAGCACTGAGGAATTGAACCCAGGGCTTCATGCATGCTAGACAAGTAGTCTACCACTAAGCCACATTCCCAGCCCTCACTGGGCTTTTTTGCTCAAGGCTAGCATTCTACCATTTGAGTCACATCTCTACTTATGTATGGCTTTTTAGTGGTTAATTGGAAATAAAGAGTTTTATGGGTTTTCCTACCCTGTTGGGCTTTGATTCTCAATCCTCAAATATCAGCTACCTGTGTAGGTAGGATTATAAGCACCCAGATACATTTTTTTCTTTTGTACCCAAATAAAGTAATCTATACATTGATATTGTAAGATTTTTTTTTTTTTTTGTCAGCCGTGGGGCTTGAACTCTGGGCCTGGGCGCTGTCCCTAAGCTCTTCAGCTCAAGGTGAGTGCTCTACCACTTGAGCTACAGCGCCACTTCCGGTTTTCTGGTGGTTTATTGGAGATAAGAGTCTCACGGTCTCTCCTGCCCCGGCTGGCTTTGAACCGTGATCCTCAGATCTCAGCCTCCTGAGTAGCTAGGATTACAGGCGTGAGCCACCAGCGCCCAGCTGATATTGTAAGATTTTTAATTCAAACTTTTTAAAATTTAAGTATTTACTGAGCATCTAGCTCCAAGGTCTCTTTACTAAATGACAGTTGACACTGAGAAACCACATGGCTGGACTCCCTTAAATTTTTCGAGAGTATTGGCCTGGCATATGCCTGTGATCCTAGCTACTCAGGAGGCTGTGTTCTGAGTTTGAAGCCAGCCTAGGCATGAGCCTCCTGTTTCCAGTTAACCTGCATAAGGCTGAAAGTGTAGCTGTGGTTCAAGTTGTAGAGGACCAACCTTGAGCAAAAAAGCTAAGGGATACTGCCTGGGCTTTGAGTTCAAGCCCAGAACGTGAACACATGCAAACAACAAGAATCCTTACATTGCTGCGTACCAGTAGCTCACGCCTGTAATCCTAGCTACTCAGGAGGGTGAGATCTAAGGATTGAGGTTCAAAGCCAGCCCGAGCAGGAAAGTCTGTGAGACTCTTAGCTCCAATTAACCACCAGAAAACCGGAAGTGGTGCTGTGGCTCAAGTGGTAGAGCACTTGTCTTGAGCCAAAGAGCTCAGGGACAGTGCCCAAGCCCAGAGCTCAAGCCCCATGACCAACAGCAACAACGAAAAGAATCCTTAAATTCACTAAAATGGTTATTATAAACTCAGTTTTGTGACCATAACTTCTAGAAATACACCCAAGGTCTAGAAATAGGGGTAAATCTAGGGGGTAGATCATTCATAGAAACACTTTGTTTTTGTCTATATACACACACACTCACACACACACACGGCACGTCTGATACATGCCACAGACACGTGTCACAGACATGTGTCGTGTGTGTGTAATATGTCACAGACGTGTGTGTGTATTCACACACCATTTTTAACATTTTTGTGTGGTTCTGAGGATTGAACTCT